ATCCCTCCCTCCTCTGTCCGTCACCCTTCTGCACCCCACGATCACAGCCACCACCAATCTTTAATACAGCCACCATTCAGCATTGAGATGCCAGAGGCCACAGTGCTTCAAGGTCGAACTAAAGAAACAAATAACAATCCAAAAAAAAAAAAGACTACATAAAAGCAACTTTTATTCTACATACTTGAATAAAAGCAAACTTCCTAATTCCTCAATATTCCAGTTTTAAATCTTGTGTTCGTTAAACTCTTCAAACGTTTTTTTTTTCCCTCTGTCCTCTTGACGTTCTCCTTTCCTTTGTTCTTTTCTGAATTTGAAGTTTAATTTATGTTAACATACACCACCGCTCTACACTTGATTGGCTTCCCACACACACAGCCATCTAAGGCCTCCTCTTTTCGCCCAACGTTTTCAGTCAGAGGCATTAATCCCTTATCAAGCTGGTTATCATTTCAAATAAAGCAGGGATGTTCATGCAAACAGTAAGATATCAAGAGAACCCCCCCCCCCAAACAAAATAAAAAAAATAAACAGAAACCACCAAACAACAAGCTGCTTAAATCGGTTTGTCACTTTACAGAACAGTAGCTTGTTGGCTATGTGTTTGGTTTGAGGGTTTGAACATTATGTAGGCTTTATTTGTTTCTGACTTTTTTCTTTTATTGTTGTTTTATAATTATGCGACAAACTTAGAGTGGAAGAGAAGCATCTTATCCATTCAACACCATCCATCCTACTTGTATTTTATTCCCATGAACTTGACTTTGTCTTTCAGTTTATTGTATTTAAGTTTTGTTGGTAACATATTTTCATAAAATATGGACATAAAAATGCCATACTTCCATTCCACTGATTGGAGATGGTATGTTTTTTTTCTGGGCAAGTTAGGCCCTCTGATGAAAGTATAATAATTCTGACTGGTCAATATAACTTATGAACTGAGAAGCATTTATGACAAGTGTGACTCTAGTTCCACCAGGTGTTTGCTAATCGCTGCTGCCGCTAGTCTAGAGGTGCTGTGGGGAAAGCGCGGAGGAGGTTGCCTGAGGAGCAGCTTTATGGAAATAAGTGACACATTGTATGAGCAAGCATTTAAGCGCCCCCAAACGGCTGCCAAAATAGATCCAAGGATTCTTCAAACACCTATTAATGAGTCAAAGCATCATTCCAGGTATGTGTTTGATGAGGGAATAGCCTTAGAACATGACATGAAGCTCCAAAAAAGTCAATTTTTCATAACACCAGCCTTCTTTCTTTTCTATTATCTTCTTCTTCATCATCTTCATACCGACGCATATCACCCTCTGTGAAGCAGTCATGAAAACCGTCACCTCTGATTGAAAACCTCTGATTCAATTCAACCAAAACATCGCTTAAATATGAGTGAATAATGCTCATGTGCATGGACGTGTAAGGGTATGTCAAGGTCTAACGCAGTAACTGGGAGCACTGACAACAACACTCTTCGTGGTGGAAGTTGGGACTGAGGGAAGAACACTCTTAGTTATCGTCATCATCAGAGTGGTGTTGAATAGTTAACTCAGAGAAAGCAAAGAGATGTACAAAGTTTCTGGAAGCCGTTTTCAGTCGTTGTTTTAAGCTGCCTCCTAAAAAAAGGCTGGAGACGTCAGAAAACAGCAGGAATCTCTTGCAGCGACATGGATCTTGTGTTATCATTACCACGTGACGTCATATGTTATTTGTAGTAACTAAAGAGAAATCTAAATCTCATAAAACTGGTATTGAATTAATTGTCACAGAATGTGCAGAGTAGCTCCAACGGATCCTCAGACATGGTGCCGAGCTCTGTCTGGCTGCCCGGCTGGGACACCAGCCGTGTTGAGGAAATGTTGAGAGGCAGCATGAGGGGGCAGCGACGGCGTGGGGAGGTCGTAGCCAAGGACCTGAAAGAACTCCATCTCCCTGGGCCAACATGCCATGACGGTGTGGAGCAGCAGTCCGAATTGGTTTCTCTGGGGTGGCGGTGATGGCGAGATGAGCCCAAATAGAGGGAATGGCAAAGGAGGTGAGGTGGTGGGGAGATACGGTACACACAGAGGTATGTGCCTGAGTGAGAGATGTCAACTGGATCTGAGGTACTGTAAATGGGCGGATTAAAGCTTCCCTCATCTTTGACTCTCTCCATATACATGAGACGTCTGCTCAACTGTGAAAGCAGCAGTGTTGACGTGTGAAATCGCACATCCTGCTGTCTGCGCTTCCTAACGAAACAAATCCATAAACTGCTCGCAAGGTCCGTAAGGAGGAAAACACGGCAGGAACGCAGACGTCTGCATGCAAGTTCTTAATATGCTCTTACGAATACAAAGGAGACGCAGCGAGTGTCACTTCTGGATTATTATATCTCTGTATCAAACGTAGCCGGTAGCTATGCCTTCACTTCTAAAGCTCGTGTCCAGCCAAAGCCTGTTTGCATCGATTTGACTAGTTTGTGGATATGATATTGACTAAGTAGACCGGCAGCCCTCATTGAGTCGAGGCAAAGCGAAAGGAGCTTTAAGAGGTGGTCGAACGCGATGGAGGAGGATAGCCACAGGCTGTGAAATATCCTCTGATCTTCTCTTGTCTGATTCTCAAACGCAACCTCTTCTCTCATGAGGTGGGGAAAAAAGCTGATATAGAACTAGGCTAAAGTCACAGAACGCTCATCTTCTAACCCTAAAGGGAAATAAAATAAAATAAATAAAAAAAAAAAATCTCTTCTTTTGTTTCTCTTCTATGGCCGCTATATCTCGACGAGTCGTTCGGCCTCCTTCTCTCCCTCCACTTTGTTCTCCACAGGAGGCTGAGCATGCACGAGCTGAGCAGCGTTCGCTGCCTGCTGCAGCAGTCAGGAAAGTGAAGGTAATCTTTAGTCCTGTCACTCAACGCCGAGAGGGAAACTGAGAAGAAAGCGAGCGAGGCGCATACTTCAGCCGTCCATCACCTTCAACATAATACGTACTTTACGAAAACACACAGTGAGAACCGTTTTGCCGGGTAGAAAACCGAGTTTTGGTACAAGTTCATGACAGACGGTGAGCGTTAAAAGATGTAAAAAAAAAAAAAGAATAAAGTCTGTGAAATAAAGATATTTCTTTATATATATGGGGGAGTTGAAAGATGTTTTTGTCAAAGTGCAAAGATTTTTTTTAAACCATTAAGTCTTGACAAAACAAAAGAGTAAAAAAATAGGTTATTTTCTCCATATGACTCAATACAGGAAGGTAAGAATAAAAAGTTATGGATAGAGGGAATTATTAAGTAACTTAGCCGCACTGTGAGTCTTTCCACATGAGCACACCTCACACACATATCAGACTAAACCACACTGCCACTATATACATTTTAAGGCTAAAAAATAAAAATAAAAATCTTCGACAAATGTATAAAATGGCTCCCCTCCATTTATCTGCTGACAGTGGAGAATCAGACAAATTGAAACAATATAAAGAAAGAATGTGGTCAGAAGTGACTGACTAGGAAGGTGAGGAGAGCAAACTAGTAAATATCCATCCTAAACATGAGGGTTAACCACATGAAAGTGTGTCAAGTTATTGAAAAGTTACAGTATAAAAAAATAAATGCTTTTGCCATACAAATGTTTACATTTTTTTATATGAGAATCCAGAATATCGCAAAGCAGCTTTTTCTCCTAATTTTTGACACACTGCCTGTCAGTAAGCTGACAAAAGATTTTCAGAATTTCTCCCACTTACAACAGAGACAAATAATTATCTGTTTATCAGCCTCTGTCTGAGCAGCGAGCCCAAATTATAAACCAGTTTTTTCCAGTTGTCGACTGTGTAAAGGGCAGAAAAACAAAATAATACTCTTCGTAATAGGCACATTTATTTGAAGATTACTGCTAAATGCCTATTTATATGTTTTTACATGTTCTGTGTTAACATCGAAACAATAAAGTTCTGTTTTGTATTTTAGCAGGAGGTCTAAATATGGCCTTTGCGTTTTAAATAAAACCAGTTAGGTATTGTTTTTTTTTTTTTTTTTTTTTAAGCTTGATATTTATACTCAAGGTTTATCATTTGGGAATTCCATACAGACCTATGTGTGAGGCATGAAATAAGGGTGCCAAATTTAAAAACTTTTCCTCTGGTCATGTTGTTTGAGAGATTTGTGGACGCTAAGTTCAAGTTCAAGTGAGAGGACAACAGCAGATCAGGTGCAGCAGAGCAGGACTTTGTCTCACCTCTGACGTCACAGCGATGGCCTGACCCCGTCGCTGACCTCCGCTCCTCGGGCCAGAAGGTCAGGCTGTCTGTCGCTTGCAGGCCTGCGGATGGAGGTGAGAGTATTTCTGTAGGACTTCACTTACTCCTGCAAAACATGAAAACACTATTCTTACAAAAGTGCTCTAATAATTCCCCAAACAAAAAATGTTTTATATCTCACAGAAGAAGCTTTTCTTCTTCACCTTATGTTGGATTTTTGTGAGTAAATATTACACAAAATGTTTAGTCTTGAAGTCGAAATGTCAGCAAAGAACTCCAACAAAACGCTATTTAATAAACTGTGTTAAAGCAAAATGGATGGCATTGCTCACAAAAGCTTCACTGAATAAAAGTAAAAAGTTGGAAGTATTGCCTTTTTTTTAGTAAATCTTAAGAAAGAGTATTAAAAATGATGCATTGATAGGTCTTTTGAAAAATTTGCTAATTTCCTTTTTTTTTTTTTTCAAATACCGGCAAGGAGTTTCTCCCCATTTTCTCTTACGTCTGGTAAAACCAGATAATACACACAAAGACATGCACACATCCGCACACAGAGAAACACACCTCACAAGCGATTACACAAAATGCTCAAAGATTACATCCACTGAAATCTGACGTCCTCGGTGGGTTTAAAGCCTGCATGTCAGCCCTTTCAATTCCCCCCCGCCCCCTTTCTTTCTCTTGCATGGGTCAGAGGCTGTTGCTAGGCTACCAAACCCAGAATACATAAGTTCAGAGAAAAAGGTTTATATAGGGCACTGCAATCCAAGGTAAAAACGATAACAGGAAGCTGATGACAAAATATGGATTTAGATTACTGTGAGACTCAAACACTGTCAATTGTGGCTGTCAAAGCCGTGGAGGAGAAGGACGAAGAAGAAGCAGAAGAAGAACTAGTTAGTAGTTTCCAATGACGACATTAAGACAGTCTCTGCAGAGGCTTCTCTTGCAAAAACATATAAGTCATGTTGTGATGGGATCAAAGCAAATCTATGAGTGTGCAAAAAGGCCTGCTCTGCAGCCCAGTGTATTCTGTCATGTTTATTATAGCCCTTAGTGACAAAAAATGAGGCACTCTGGGTGTAGTAATAACGCGCACTCTCATGGACAACATCCGAGGAAGCGGGGATGCGCGTGCGCCCACACTCGTGCACGCCGCAGTGGAATCTGGTGGCCAAGTGTGACACAATCGAGATAACATCTGTGGGATAGTGAGCTTGCAGCAGGGCCGTAAAGCTAAAAACAATGGCTCTGTTGTGTGTGCAGGGGTAAGAACGCAGTACACGTCCGATCCGTCCGGCGCCTCATCCGTCCGTGCACCTGGCAAAACGAAATGAACGGAAGAAGCAGCGGGCGAAACTTTGCGAAAGCGACAGATTTAAATTTCTCTTAACTCGCCGCCGCGTCGCTTTGTGCTCCTCGTTTAACACGGCCATCTTGATGCGTGCGGAATAAATCTGGGCAGCAGAAAACCATAAAGGGCGTTCAAGCAGATGTACAAATGGAGACGTACAAATCACCAAGACAATGGAATGTTTAATGCAGCCTTATGGCAGGTGCTCAAGAGATAGACCCAGTCTAGACTGGGCTCCATCTGGTGCGTAGAGGCCTCCTCCTCGCGCCCCCAGACAGACACATATTAATGTGGGAAAAAAAATGCACGTCTAGCCTGCCTCTGTGAACGCTCACCAGACTGCATTTGAATCTCAAAGGGCCTCTCCACATATCCTCCATTTATTAGCCCTCAGCAATGCATTAATTTTTTTTTTTTTTTTTTTTGCTGCTTCAACAGGTCGAACGTGGGGAGGGCGGCCTTGTTGGTGTAGAACAATTGCGGCTGACGGATCACGCTGTGTTATAAATCCCCGGCTCAGAGTTGAACCTTTATCTTTAAGGGACATACAGTAAGGATGACTGCCTCAGAACATGGGCTTCTGACTTTCAATTTCAGGAGCTATTTCTGTCAAATCACTAAAGAGAGACCGAGGGTAGCGTTTTGATATTGGCTTCAGTACCTGAAATAATTTACATACTGGAATAACAGGCTTAGCAAGACGTCAGTGTCCTGCTCCTCGGTCAAATTACACTAAATGCCTCCGAACAGCACATTTGTAAATCATGAAATGACCATTAATAGCATCAATTTAAAACTACAATTTAAAACCAAAAAGTGTCAACGCCTAGACCGCGAGGCACACAAACAGGGCTGTAGCGACACAAAGACGCAGCAGTGCTAGCATCTTCTCTGATCTGTGATGCAGTGCAAAACCGGGGCCTGTAGCACCAGGCAGGCAGTCAGGCAGGATCTGTGCTGCTGCACACCTACACTCAGCACACAAGCAGAGACACAGGCAGCCACACAGCTTTAGAAGCTATAACACACAAATGACTTGTTCAAATTCAACAGGCTTTTACCACCGTGGAGTTAAACCTTTCACTCAGACGGCCCCCCCGCCCCCTCCTCGACTTGGATGGAGAGGAGAAGAAACGGGTCGTGTTGCAAGACAAACTGGGTTATTAAAAACAGGCCAAGGTGACCACGCTGACCCCGTCTCAGCAGCGATACGGGTCAGATTTTAGGGGAAGTGGGTCTCTTTAAGCCTGTTTTGGTGATTCAATCGCAAAAGTTCTTTGACTTGTGCAAAAAACAACGTTAGATTGATACTTTGAGGGTCAACAGATCTTGACCAGGAGAAACTTTAGTTTCTGGATCTTTGACATCTTTTGACATTTGCAATGTGTATCTTCATCCGTGCAAAAACGGTTAAGTGACTTTGCCACGTCTATATGCGGGGATGGAACGCAGTCACCAAAATACACTGAAAACAAAGAAGGTGGTGAGTGAGCAGCGTTCTCTTCAAACTATCTCTCATGAACACCCTGGTCAGAAATTGGGTGACGAAATCGTCATCTACACAAAACCACAAACAGTTCAAACACCTCACCTTATACGTCAAAGTTTTCTTTGGAAAATGTTTGTAACACATCTTTTACTTTTAAAATTATACATTAAATCTCTAACAATCTTGTTGACATTTTGGAGCTGGAATACAGTCTGACCCTGAAGACCATACAGCTGCATTTCTTTTCCCCTAAATATTTAAATAAGCCCAATAAGCACCGTTACTGCCAAGCAGTCATCTGCAAAACAGCGAAAACTTGAAATGGGTGCTTGAGCTACAATTTGTGTTTGACCTCACTCTTCTGCAGAACCTTTTCCAAGGAATCAGGCCTAAACGGTCTGGTAATGGAGGCAAAGATAAATCCAGGGATATAAGATATTACCTTTGACAAGCGCAAACTGAACTGGATAACTGTCTCATTTCCTCTTTTTAGCTTGACACACTGACACGTGGGCCAGTCTGAGTAAAAATGTCACAGTTTCATGACATTATAGAATTTATTTTACAAATATCTGAAGGAAAATGTGGGAATGGCTAATTACTTTTTTAAACAGAAAAGCATGTCTTTTCTCCTTTGTATAGTAGGACATAAAGAGCTAATGACTAAGCTAAGATGTGCTCCTTAGGTTTCCATGGGTGCAGTAGTCCCCAAAAGTAATAGATTCCTAACAGCTGATTGTTTCCTTCTTGCAAGTGGAAGAGAAGCTCAGAAACATTCTTGCAGCCAGCTAGTCATCAGTGTGCAGCAGCGTGTTAGAGAGGCAGTCTCAGATAAAAAGAACTCTATTGTCTCAGAGCATTTCTTATTAAAAGGACTTTAAACCACATGAATGAGATGATGGAGATCTTAAAGAAATAACTTAAAAAAATAATAAAATACCTTGACACTATGTCAACACACACCAAAGGTATAGCTGGAAACTAGCCTTCTTGTTCTCTTTTTTTGTAACATCTCAAGCCCTGAACATGGGATGTCATCTTTTATGTGGCACATCACAAAGTGAATCCCTTCTGGCCAACTTTTTTTTTTTTCTTAAAATGAGGCTTTACATTGATGTGTAAATGCACCAAAGCATGACAACACAACACAGCAGCTACTTTTTGTTGTTAATATCCCTTTCCATTTCAGAGATGCAAGGCATAGTTGGGGCTGCTGGTAGAACACGTGACTCTCAGGAGTCCTCCAATCGGGTGCCTCTGACATCGTGCACATCTCACCTTGTGTCTGCTGTTCAGCGGCGTCCAAGTAGCAATGAATAAAAAAAAACCAAAAAAAAAAAAAAAAAAACGGCACATGCGGCCACGTGCCGTGTAGTTCCAAACTGGGAATGGTCCATTAAAGACACCAGCATCGGCGCCTTCATCATCCTCATCACGCCTCAGCGAATGGAGCTCGAGTCCGGCTGCTAACTACTGTCACTCCAAGCATCCCTCTTGATCAAAAAATAAATAAATAAATGTAGTCCCACGAATCCATCTTTGGAGGGAGGATCGCCTCCCTTTTCCGCAACGCTGATCTTCCAAAGAGGAAGAAGGTGCTCCATGGGCGCGATCCTCCGGCGGGGCTCTCCATCCTCAAGCTGCATCCCTCCCTCCGTGCACGCATGCATCCATCCATCGGCACATCCAGCCAGCTCAGGCAGTCCACCTCCCCCCACAACACAACCACCCGCTTCTCGCTCCGCTTCCAGCTCGCTCCGTCGTGACGATTGCGGAATTAGTTTATACATTCGGTTCTCTAGCTTTATGATATTACATAAACTCATACAGCTAGATAACCAAAGAGAAAAACTAACCCACGTCTCTTAAAGGGGCCGCCGCTGGGAGCTGCATGTGTTGTGGTCACATGGAGCCATTGCAATCCGCCTTGCATGAAGGCGCCTCCCTCGCTCCGTCTCCCGATCTGCCTTTCTAATAGACGCGCGTAATTGCGCGCACCCTCAAAAACAGGTTACACTCAGTATATATATATATATATATATATATATATATAACGTACACACAAGGACGTATTTCTGTGTCTTTTGATTTGCCACGTTACTAATAATAATAATAATAATAATAATAATAATAATAATAATAATAATAATAATAATAATAATAATAATGATAACACCTTTAAACAACCTCCATCACCACAACATAAAGTCCACCATCCGTCTCCATTCTGGTGTTTTTTCTCTTTTTATTTTTAACTTCAGCT